CGTGTGTGTGTGTGTGTGTGTGTGTGTGTGTGTGTGTGTGTGTATGCAACTCTCTCGTTGTTGGTTGGTTTGCCTTTGTCTACTCGTTGCGCTTGTTGCCGCTTCGCTTTTTCTAGGCGCGCGGGAAAGCAGGGGAGGAGGGCACAGCTGGTTTATAAGAATGGTCAAGATCTCACACGAAGAGTCACAGCGCATCAAGACGGCTTTCTTGTCGTATGCTCAGGGTCAAAGCAAAGTCACGGAGCCTATGATTGACCAGCTCATCTGCGGTGCCATCCCAGGTCTCTCGTGGGAGCAGCTGCAGGAGAAGAAAAAGGGTCGTGGGGCAGCGGATGGCTACGACCGTAGTGCCTTCTTCGCCCTTGTTGCGTCCGACGAGCAGTACGTGCGGTTTATTGCGCAGCACTTTCCGTGTGCACCGGAGGAGGAGAAGCAACCGGAGATTGACGCTCTGGAGCTCAAGACTCAGAAGGGGTTTTAGTGCAAGGAGGAGCAAGTATTAAACAAAAAGTGGTCCCACGATGCAGAACTTCGGCGACAAATGCCGGGATGTGTGCGACTAACAACGCATGTAAATCAAAAAGAAAAACGAAAAGGAAAAGAAAAAGCAGGTGAATGTGTACGATTGAAGGAGTGCAGGAGGAAACGAAGGAGAGAAGGGAAGCGGGGAGGGGAGTGAGACATTTTTGCTTGCTTTTCTTCCCCCTCTTCCCCTACTTTTCTTTTTTGCTGGGCACGTGTGTCTGTCGCTGGCTTACAGAAAACTCAAAAAAAAATAATAATATGATTTTTGTTTTTTACTTGCCGCTCAGGAGAATTACTTGAGAGGTGGGTAAAACCGCGGCGTGCCTTCCTTTTTTGTTGCGTGGGAGCTCCACATGGGCCCGCTCCTTCTGCCACGTGTGTGTATGTCTTCTTGTTTCCCCCGTTTTTTCTTTGCTGTACCCCCGCTTTCTTGTACTGCGTCGCCGTGGTGTGTTGTGTGCTAGAGAAGGACGGGCCACCCTCGTGGTCTCTGCAGAATACACATCACTTGCTGTCGTGTGGGGGTCCCGCTATTGTCGTTTCCTTGCAGACGAGAAATGGACGACAATTTGGCCGCTGAGATTGCCAGAATAGAGGCAGAGCTTGAGGCAGACCGCCAGTTTCGCGAGCTACAGCAGAAGCAGCAGCAGCAACAACAAGCACAACAGCCGTTTGGCTCCATGGATGCTGCGAGCGTCTTTGACAGGGCATCCCCTGCGGAACACAATTCGCACCCCTCACAGCGGCCGCGGGCGTTTGCCCAGGGCGGCGACCCCGCAGCGCTGGCGCAGCAGCAACAGCAGCAGTTTGTTGGGCAATCCGCAATGGCTCCAACGTCGGGGCAACCGCACCAGTTCTCGAAAGATAGCGATGGCCGCTCCGTGTTTGTGGGGAACCTGCCGAAGGGTGATAATGCTGGTCCGACCACCACGCCGGAGGAGTTGGCGCAGTTCTTCGCTGACTGTGGACAAATACTGAACTGCACTGTCCTGCGGGACCGCGCGACGGGCGAGCTTAAGGGTACGGCATACCTGGAGTTTGCCACCTACACTGCAATGGGGAAGGCTATTGACACAAAGAATAACGCCAGCTTCAAGGGAAGCACCATTATTGTATGTTGACCGTGAGTTCCACCAAATATTTATCCTCCTCTTTTGCTTGCTTGTGGCCCTCCTCCGTCTCCCCCTCCCTCCTTTCTTTCTTACGCATGCAATGCACATGCATTCCCGCCTGCGCCCGCGCCCGCGCGGCCTCTGCGGTGAATATGCGTTAAGGAGGGGAGTGGGGTGGGAGGGGACGGGGGAGAGGCGCACAGCCATGCCCCCCTCTTTTGTACGCCGCACGGCGCCCCTCCCTACAAAAACAAAGAAACAAAAGAAGGCAGAGCAGTGAGTGAGTGTGTGTGGTGAAGCCCAAGCATGTGTCTTTCAAACAAAAGAAGGGGACCTGTCAGAGAGTACAGTCCAATAGAAATCACAGCAGCAACAACAAAAGTTATCGCTACAAGAAACATATGAAATAAGACAGTGATAAGTCACACAGACCAAAAAAAAAGAAAAAAAAAGAGATGCACGGCCCCTAATATAAAAACAATGAAAATAAAATACAACAACAACAAAAAAGCACAAATATAACACCAACAACAAAGGATAAAATGCGAAAGACCCGCGCCCGTTATATTTTTGGACGTATATATATTAAGGATTTTTATGTCGCATGTGCGGCCAAATCTTGCCTTTTTTTACTCCCTCCTACAGGAAAGCACACACATACACACACACACACACATACACATACACACATACACACACACACACACACACACTGTTCTGCCTTTCTTTTTGTTTTTTTTCTCTCTTCTAAAAGCTTTCTTTTTTCTCTGATGCATCTCAACTGAAACTGAAATTCGACCTTTGCTTCTTTTTTCCCGTGTGCATTTGTGTACATTGTATTTTGTATATATGTATATATATATATATATGTCTTTATAGGTGACGAAAAAGCGTTCTTCCTTTCGCCCTGAACGGGCACGCGGCGGCAGAGGAGGACGCGGTGCTGGCGCAACTGCAGGAGATCCTTACCACGCCATGATGGCCCTGATGGGAATGATGGCCGGCGGCGCAATGATGCAGCGTGGTAACAGAGGTGGTGGACGTGGGGGACGGGGCCGTGGCGCGGCAGGTGGATATTCACCCGCCGCGGGCGGCTTTCAACCCTTCCAGTAGGATGTGGGAGGGCTACCACAGACAGTGGCGCGGAACTAGCAACGGGTATATATAAAAAAAAAGATAAAGGACAGTGCATGAGGAATACATGCGCTCGCACCGTGGAGAGGGTAAGAGAAGAAAATAAATGTGGATGGATGAGTTACCGCGTTTCTTTCTTTCCCGGTTGTTTGATTTCTTTTTTTTTTGCCGTTTTTTTCTTGTTGAATGCATGTGTGTGTGCTTGGCTGTCTTTTACGTGGCGGCCAAGCTCTGGCCATCCTATGGGATGGTACGGAAAAAGGTGGGCGACTGAGCTGGCGAGGAGGAGAAAGGAATGAGGTAAATACCAAATGAAAAGGTATATTTTGTACAACCGAGAATAGATTAAGTGAGGAAATGAACGTAAGAAGAGACGCGATAATACGGCATGAATACCCGCAGAAGTTATTTTCTGATGCTTACTCTCCTACCGCAACGGACCACTCCGTATGCACCTCACCCGTTGTATCCACAGCACACGTGCATACAGAGTGGTCCGTGGATGAGGTGTGGTGCCTTCCCCCCTACTTTGTCCAGTGGCGCTTCTTTGTGTATCTGTCATTCTTGTTGCTATTGTTTTGATCCCACGACGCCTCGTTGGTGGGATTCATCGCGTGCGTTGAAAAGGAACACTAAAAGAGGAGGATAAGAAGCAACGAAAGAATAAAAAACGGCCGAGTTCTTCCAGACGAGTTAACCGAAATACATACAATGCATAACTATTCGCATCGCGGTGCCGAGGATCCCGAGACGGAAGAAATGTTGACCGTCAGCATGGAGGGAAAACGGAATTGGCTGCGCATGTCACAGTACGCATACATAACCACGAAAGAGTACGTCAAACTGGGATGCTCTTTAGCCGCCGTGCAAGTGCGATCCTCGCTGCGGGGGGCACAGTTGTTTTGGCAAGATGCCTGGCAATCACTTCTACCGCACAGCCTCGTTTCAAAGAACAGCAAGTGTCTTTGCCTGGACGACGGTCTCGACGACGTTATCGAGTATAGTCTCACATCCCTCCTTTGTGAGATTGCCGCAACGGCGGAGATTACACATGGGCAGTCCGTAAGCATGACACTGCTGAGGGCATTTAGGAGGCAGTCGTGTTTTGTCGCCTGCGCCCCGCGGGAGCACCAGGTGGCGTTTGAGATGGTGGCAACCGATTCGGCCATTCCAGCAATGCAGCTCCGCGGTGCTCCATTGAATGTGACGTATGAGGAGGCGACGCGTTTAACAAGTTTGTTAAGTGAGGCTCTGGCGTGTGAGTGGTACTGGCTAACGCACCCCCCCGTGGCTGCTGCTGCACCCGCTCGGACACCGGATAGCGGAAACTTGTTAACGGAATCCCATGTTCTCGCCCTGATGCTTGATAACTGCCCCGAGTTTAATCTTATCTGGATGGCTGTGTCCGAGGCAAGTGTTTGGCTGACGTTCTTGGATGCCCTTTACGGCACAGGGAGGCCGCAAGCAAAGGAGGAAGTGGAAGCGGAGAAAAATAGTGGAGCTAAGAGGGCTGCAGTATATCATCACTGCAGCACGGCTCTTCTTAACACTAATCTCGCAAACCATAGTATGTTGTTACACAGCCTAAGGTGTTCCGCGGCGGAGATTTTGGTGATGGAGGAGAGGTACGTCCCGTTTCTTTTTGCCGACGAGGACGACCTGTCTGGGGAGGGCGAGCATCGGGAAAGAAAGAGGAGGCCTGTGCAGCTTCCACCGTGCGTCCGAAGGGTGTTTCTCTGGCGAGCGGCGCCATTGAATGCCCCGAAAAGCAGCGAAGGGAGTAGAGCTGTGGATGCTCGACGAGCTGCGAACGCTTCAATGAGGCGTGGCACTGCAGTAATCACAGCAATCCCACGGGCATCGACCTCTTCGATCTTGTGCGTGCCAACTACGATCTACAGTCACAGCCGTCCGCCTTCACTATCCTCAAGGCACGTATTCTTTGCGCTCCGCCGGCAGCTCACAAAGCGGCAGCCGCAACGGGGTGGCAGAGGCAGCGGCAGCAGCAGCAGCAGCTACGCGGTGCCTGCATACGGAATACAACACGAGAAGCCCTGCTGCGGTTTCTTCCGGTGATGCCGGTGCTGCATATTTACACCTCGGGTACAACCGGACTTCCCAAAGCGGCGCGATTTAGTCACTTGAGGTTTTTTGCCGCCATTTTTCTTTCTTCCATGCTTTCGCACCGAGGGAAAGTGATGGAGACTTTGAGGAAGCAGCACGAGAGCTACAGTGGTGGAAGTGGCAACGATACTTGGTGGTCCAGCTTTAAAAAGATGTTTACAGGCTCTTGCTCCCCCCTCAAGGACGAGCTCAATATTCTCACGGTGTACAATTGTCTACCAATGTACCACACAGTAGGCTGCGTGTTCTGCATTGGGCACTTGCTACGGGCTCTGCAGGAGCAGCAGCGTGCGGCAGGTACGGTGACGTTGTATCAGTGGAAACCACAGGGTGATAAAGGCAAGATAGGTCGACAACAGCAGCAACCGCGGCTGGCACCGACCGCCCGTATGATAATACGAAGTAAATTCAGTGCTTCGCAATTCACAAGAGACCTGCAACGGTACCGAGTCACTGTGTTTCAGTACATTGGGGAGATCCTCCGGTACGCGTTGCATTATGAAAAGAAGATGCAGGTTGTGCCGCACAACATCGCCGTTGTGCACGGCACACACTCTGATAGTGTGAAGGGGGACAACATTGGGAAAACCATTGGCAATGGCAACCAAGGGGAAACTCGCTGGGTGGTCCCCTTTGCATTTGGTAATGGATTGCGTGTTGACATCTGGGATGAGTGCAAGCACACCCTTGGTATCGCGCAGGTGGTGGAGTTTTACAGCTCAACGGAGGGGAATATATTTCTTTTTAACCTGTTTGATGTTCCCGGGGTTGTGGGGCACCTGCCGCTTCTCCCTACCCCGATCTACTGGCTCTCCACACAGTTCAATCCATTGTTGCCCTTTCGCGTTGTTAAGTACGATTTTGATCGCGATGAGGTGTGGCGTCACCCGACGAAGGGGTGCTCTGCGTACTGCAACGTGGGCGAAACCGGCGAGATTGTGGGGGAAATTATTCAGGGCTTTGACGTCTTTGGGCTTCGACGCTTTGATGGGTACCACAGTGCTGCGGAGACCCGGAGGAATGTGATTCGCGGTGTCTTCAAAAAAAAACGACGCCTACTTTATCTCGGGTGACTTGGTGAAGTTTGACGCGATGGGGTTCGTCACGTTTGTGGATCGCGTCGGCGACACGTTTCGCTGGAAGGGCGAGAACGTGTCGACGACGGAAGTGATGAATGCCATGAACAAGGTGGTGGGGGACACGGCCTCCGTGCAGGAGGCGGTCGTGTACGGCGTCAGCGTCCCCCACCACGAGGGACGGGCTGGGATGGCGCAGTTGACGCTCACGCCGCTGGGGGAGGCCCGCGTGCGTTCCGCAGCCGCTGCAAGAGAGACTGGCGCCAACGCTCTGCGGATGACCCTTCAGGACGAGAAACGGTTCCTGCAGAACGAACTGTACGGTCTGCTCACTGGGGCGAAGGGTGGCTCTGCCGCGCTACCAAGCTACGCCGTCCCCGTAAGCGTGCGCATAGACGAGGAAACGGTGGAGCATGGAGGTAAAGGTGAGCAACCACGAACGCAAGAAACTCGTGCGTCACCGGAGAGTGGCGGGTCATTCAGACAAACAGACTCTAGTCTGGCCACTGACAAGGCACGCACCACCACTTTCAAGTACCGTCGACACATGCTTGTCGGCGAGGGCTACAGGTTCGCCATCTGCTTTGATGAGTTGGCTTCATCGCGGGTGTACGTTTTGGTGACAAAGCGAGGCCTCTTGACTACAGTGGGAGTGGAGCCGGTCCCTCCGTCTCTTTCCTGCGGCTATGTGCCGTTGAATGCAAAAACCGTCAGTGTCCTTGGTGAGGATTTGCAGAGCTGCGGGTGGTAATTTTGCTCTCGTTACGATTTTATTATTATTATTATTATTATTATTTTTTGCACATCGTGTAGTTCTCTTTGTGAGGCTGCCGTATAAATTTTCGTTCACCCTCTCCCACTGCGGCTACGTTCCATCTTGTTCCTACTCTGCGGCACCGCATTGATGGAGTTAGTTGTTGTGGTTGACATTCACTGATGCATTGCGCCATCTTTCGTTATTCCTCTCTCCGCTGCTCATACGATATCGTTTGTTGTTGTTCCCACTTGGCGCTGTCTCTCTTTTCTCAAGCGGTTAAGAAGGGAGGAAGGGTGGTCGTATGCACGGGGATGCCGCGGGCGGTGCAGCTGGGACATCGACGGGTACTGTCGACATGCTGGCGGAGGAACGGAGCAGTCTGCAACTCATTCTGGGCACAGTGCACGCCACACTCGACTACCACTGCCGCGCTGCAAGGAATCCTGGAAATAGCAGCAACAGTCACGGGTCATTCTGTAGTAGTAGTGGTGGTAGGAGCGACATTGCCTCAGAAGCGGAGGTGGTTGAACTGCTCGGCATGTTGCCAAAAATTCTCTGCAGTGCCGTCGACCCCGCCACACTCCAAGTGAAGGAGCGGCAGCGGCAGTACATGACCGTTGCCGGCGTTGCACGCCCCCCTCCGTTGTCCTGGCATACCACCCTGTATCGTCTTTTGTTTACCCCTCTCTTATTCTCCTCATCATCACCGTCGTCGTTGTCGTCGTCATCATCGTCCAAATGTGGTGGAGACTGTGCTGTGCTTGAATGCCTTGCGCGCGTGCTTATGAGTGGGGGTGACGCGAGCCGCATGGAACCCCTCGACGTGCTGCCAGGGGACCCTCCAGAGGAGTTCGCCACCGCTACTAGACAAAATATGTGGTTTGCAGGAACCGTTACACTTGCGGCGCTTCGCTCACTTGGCGACATTGTTCAGCTGTGTCTCCACGATGCCGCTGAGGAGAGGCGTGTTGGCGGGAAACTCTCTACGGCACTCCCTTACAACCGTACGACATCCCCAAGCGGCGAAAAGGCAGTCGCGACTCAAAACGTTCTGCGAGATGCGCTTGGGCATGCCTTGTGTCAAACCGGCCTCTTTTGCCATCTCTGGCACACCTTGTTGTTTCAACCCGTCGTACACACCCAGCGGGTGGTGACGGCGCGGGTACTTTGCGACGTAAGTCGCGCGGGTCTTCTACAGCTGTCTGCTGCCATCGCGCGAATGCGGCACATGATGGACCCCGCTGTCTGGGGTCGAAGGGTGGCCGAATGCATTCTTTCCGATCCCAACGCATCAGTAAGGGAATCTCTGGCCGCGGCGCTGTACGCAGGTCTACAGTCCTCATTGCTGGACAGTGACCTTCACGCTGGGCACAGTGATGGGTGCGTCTACTGGTGGCGGTGGTTGACAAGTCCCTCGCTACGATGTCTGCTTGGCGTTGTGGCAACAGGGGACTCCTTTGCCGTGCTGCAGCCAGTGCTGGGTTCACTGATTTTGGTGCTGGAACACGAGCAGTGGAAGGATGCGACACGGCAGTGTCCACCCACCAGGTCTGCGACGGAGCGCGTTGATGCGGTATCGGTGGCAGAAGTGTGTGCCACCGTGTTGGTGCATCTTTTTACGGGTCCGACAGCCGTGAATGCTCGGAGTTGGGACGACGATTGCGGTGAGCAGTTGCGGCGGTATCGCCTTCTTGTTCGAGGCTCGGTGCGGCTACTTCGCCTCGCGTTGAGAAGCGTTGATCGACTGCTGGGGGGCGCTGGCGTAATGCAGCAGCCGAACGGGGGTGACGACGCCGAGCGCAAGGCCTCGGTGCTGTTGACTACATGTGTGGAGAAACAGTTGCTGTTCGCCGTGATGGCGTGCCTGGAGACGCCGCCGGAGGGCTCTTGCGCACGTACGTTTGTGACATCATCTATGCGGGCGGAGATGGTGCGGCTCGTACGTGACGTGCTTGAGCGAGCCTCCTCGCCACTGTTTTTCTTGACGTGCAAGCTAGTTGCGTACCTGCCAACGATGCTGCAGGTAATTTTAGATGCGACAAAACACATCGTCATTGTCGACAGCAGCCGCGGCGGTTGCAATGACAATGACGACAGCGACGGGCTTCCGCCATGCCGGTCGCACGAGGACGTGTTGTGCAGCGCTGGGGTCGAAACAATCTCTCTGCTTGGCGTGATGCTGTGGTATGCGCCGTTGGTGCGTGAGTGCTTTCTGGACGTGCTTGCCTCTCTGCACTGCACGGCAGAGCAGCAGGAGGTGCTCTTTGATGCCATGGAAGCGCTTGCCCAGTCTATGCCGTCGCAGGCAGTGCAGGACCTTCTCATTGTGGACGTGACGGGCACCATAATGAATGAAGTGAATCAACAGCATCGAGAGGGACACCCGCCGCAGCTTGACGCGCTTGAGCGCTTGCTAGTGCGGCAGGAGCAACAGCAACGACGGCGGCGGCAGCGGGGAATGGAGAACCGTGGGTGGGTGGCAGGCCACTTCACACCCGAATGTCGCTGGGTTTCTGTGCAACAGCAGCGGCAGAAACTTGGACCGCAACACGGTCATGTGTGCCGTGTATTTGTGTGGTTCATTTTGCATCACCTTCGCAACAGCAGCAGGAAGCTGTTAGCGGCTGACGGCGCTGAGGAGGAGGGGGCGGCCGGCAGTGTGTCAGTATCCCCAATTCAATCCAGCACCGGCAACAGTATGGTGGGGCATCATGTGGGTAGGTTCATTAACGACCTGCAGAAGAGTTCTCGCCGTGAAGGCGATTTCATTCTTTTGGGGCCGCGCTACACTCCGGCTGTGGAGAGGCAGGAGCTGCAGTATGCCGGGGAAGAAAAAGGGGAAGAGGCTGAGGAGGGGATTGCTTCCCACAACGGTGTAAGTGACACGTTATGGCTGCAACGCGTGTCTGACGGTCATTCCGTAGACATCTCGCGGCAACAACCACCACAGGCAATGGAAGAGCCGGGGCGCATGTCTCCTGCGGTGGTAGGCAGAAATCCGATGGACCCGTTAGAGCGCGTACGACAGCGGCAACTACAAAGTATCGCTGCGGAAGAAACGGCGTACCGTGCAGCCCTTAGCCTGTTTGCATCTCTGGCGTCACGGTACTACCGGCACTTCCTAACCCCGCGGGTAGCTCTGGAATACTTGCATCGCCTGCAGCACGGGGGAGCGCCCCGGCGGCAACGGATAACTTCTCCGACATTCACACATTTCTCCGGGAGGAGAAGTGTGAACAACAGCAACAATGCATTGCGTCTCTGGACGGATCGCGATGCCCGTCGGGAAGATTTCTTTTACTTTTCCCTTCTTTGCAGTGAAATAACTGAGCAGGCAATAGCTGAGCTCGTGGAGCGGTGCAAACGGCATCGACAGGCGCTACACAGGACCTTACGAACCGTGCCGCAGGCCTCGCGTGGACGTCGTTGGTTCCTTCAGGATGCAGCTACAAATATCATGGACCGCCTCATTGCGCTTTTTCAGATTCTTTTGCAACACATCCATTCTGAAGGAGAACAGGCAGTACAGCAAGCGCTCGCTCAGATGCCACCACCTTCTGAACATGAAGACGGTGATGGAGATTTCATGACAAACGTGACTCGGAGATGTGATTTCAGTGACGACACACTGTGGAGGTTGCATGGCGGCACGCTTATCGAGGTGACGGAATTTCTTGGGCGGTGCTTTTCACGTCCTGCGAAGCAGGGCAATGAAAACGCAACGACATTCTCATAACCCTAATATATTAGGGGGGTACAGAGTGAAGCACAGGAAGAGTGACTTATGCGAGAAGGAGAGATATGGGGATTGGAAGGGAAGGATGCTTCGTCTAACGTTCCCTCTGCGCGTGTGCGTGTTGCTGCCTTTTTCTTCCTCGAGACGACGTTTTTGTGTTCTCCCTCTCCTCGTGGCCTTTATTATTATTTTTGCTGCGTGGGTGCCCAGCGACGTCGGAGGGTTGGAAGTCGCGGTGCCTGCGCTGTTCGTGTCAAGCTTGTAATTCTTCTCCGCCTCTCTTTATGTGGGGCGTGGCCGGTGCACTGCTACCCCGCTCCCGCTGCGGCTGTGACTTGTCCCTTGCACTCCTCCTGTTTTCCCTTCCTCCACCGTCATTTCTTATTTTACTCTTTTTCGCTTGCACACGCACACGCAGAACACGTCTGAAAGGGCAACCACTCCACACAACAAC